TAGATTCCACATATGAGCGATCTCATATGGTATTTTTCTTTCTCTTTCTGGCTTACTTCACTTAGAATGACATTCTCCAGGAGTATCCATGTTGCTGCACAAAAGGCTTAAGAATTCAGCAGGACATAAGTCTTTTGTCAGATATATGTATTACACATATTTTCTCCCTGCCTGTCACTTGCCTTTTCGTGTCCTTAATGGTGTCTCTTGATGAGCATTAAGTTTTAGATTTTGATGAAGTCCAATATTTTTTCTTACATAGTTAGTATATACTTATTTTGTCCTCTGTAAGAAAACTTTGCTTACCCAAAGGTCAAAAAGATATTTTCCCTAGAGAAAACAAAAAGATGTTTTCTTCTAGAATCATTGTGGCTTAATTTTTTACAATTAGGGTCTCTGATGATTTTGTGTTAATTTTTGTATGGGTGTAAGGCAGGGGTCCAGGTTCACTTTTCCCCATATCCAGTTGTTATTGAAAAGAATTTACTTTTCCCTTGATGCATTTGTTAAAATCCAGTTGACTATATATATGTGGGTTGATTTCAAGATTCTCCCTTCTGTTCCATTGATGTGTTTGTCCTCGTGCCAATAGTACATGGTCTTGATTGTTGAAGTTTTAAAGTAAACATTTAAATCAGATGACTTCCCCAAATCTTTTTCTTCTTCATATAGGAAAATTATGTATCTTAGAGCTTTTGCATTTCTATATACATTTTAGAATCGACTTGTCAATTTCCCAAAGCCTGTTGAGATTTTGACTGAGATTGTGTTGAGTCCATAGAGCAATCTGGGAAGAGCTACATATTAATAATATGGAGATTTCTAGTCCACCAATGTGATATATCTCTTACTTTATTTAGCTTCTTTAATTTCTCTCACATACTTTGTAACTTAATTTTTCTTACATATATTTTGTAGTTTAGCATGGAAGTATTACACGACATTTGTTAGATTTATTCATGAACATTTTATGTATTTTTGATGCTATTGTAAATGGAATAGTTTTCTAATTTAATTTTCTGATTGCTTGTAATTAGAAATAGAACTGATTTCTGTAAATTGATCTTTTATTCTTCCACCAGTGGGGAGATGAATCACATGACTTTTGGATGCCCCCTGCTTTGCCTGCGGATGATGATATTGATATCAAATCCATGATGTTGAACCAACCTCAGTCTAAAATTCTTGCCTAACAGCACCAAAGAGTAGGATGTATGATTCCATTTCCCCCCAACTTTGCCTTTGTTTATATCTTTCCTTAAAAAAAAAAAAGATTCAGTAAAACTGTGAAGAGCAAAACAAAAATGGGACCATCTCTAGAAATGGAGAACCCAGAGTCATATCCTGAATGCTATGTAGGTTATTTAATATTGTGAGAGCATATTCAATAATACCTTCCACTGATACAGAATCTTATAATTTAGAAAGAATTTTCATCAATTTGAAGTCACTTGATGTCTGCAATAATTTAATAAGGTGGTTGGGTAGGAATTACCCTCAACATATTAAAGATGTTACACTAATTATCAGAGAGGTTACGTGATTTGCACAAGGTTGCACAGCTAATAAGAAAGTGGCCCAGAATTTGAAACTAGTGCATCTGCCCAGTAAGTACAACCTGATCAGGATGGTCCCTGAGAAACCATTCGAGAATATTGCTCAACTCTCCTGTGTCAGTAGCTTTCCAGAGCCTGGCCAGGAGAGGCTGGTTTCATTCTGACAACAAAAACCATTTGTCCTCTTTTCTTGTGGAAATTTCCCAGTAGTTCTTGATTTCACTTTATCCCCTCTTCCCAATAAATCTCTGTTTCAGTCAGAAACCAGAGGCCTTGCTTAAAAATTTCACAAAGGACCTGTTCTGATATGTAAGTGACCATTTAAAAGGATTATTCATGCTTGCTGGTTGGGATTCAGAATTCTGTGGGGCCCTGACGTGGGGGTTTGCTTTGGGTATTTGATCTCTTGTGTAGTCCCAGGTGGATTCTCATGATGGACTCTTTATAAGCTTTTTTCTTCTTAATAAAATAGATGCAGCCTCAAAATTTTATCTTGACAGTGGTTAACCTTCCCACTTAGGTTATTTTTTTTTAATTAATAAAATCATAGAAATGTGCCCATAAATGCCAGGCCCAGAAGGATGACAACTGAGTGGTTGAGACACATTAAATGGTACACTTGCCCAAACTCCTGGGATTCCAGAGTAAGGGGGGCCTGCACCCTTGAAACTGATGAATTATTCAGACAAACTTCCATTGTTCACGGATAATTGCTGTTCCCCGAGGGAAGACTTTTAGTATCTTTAATTTCTCCTCTTACAGTATCACTAAAACAAGGAATCCATTTACCCCAGAACAATGCAGTTTCAGCCTTGAAAAAATGGCATTCTTTTGGGGCTTTGTTGTCCTGAATGTGTCTGATTTGTGGTTGCAGATGAATCTGTGTTGCTGAAATCATTTTGGTTCAGATTATTTGAGAAGTAAAGCACATTCAAAGTGTATTTGTGGCCCGAGGTCTGTCTCCACCCCACGAGGAGGTACTAAATAATCCTCTGTGTCATCATCCTTCAGTAATATTTATGAAGCGCCGATCTGTGCGTGGGGCTGTGCTGAATGCTGTGTAAAACAAGGCAAACA